CAGCTTTCTGCATGAGCTAGCATGACCAACATGACAACTTTCACCAATATCACTTCTTCTTGCTCTTGCCAAAAATAGCACACGTTTCACGTTTCCAGTGATGTGTGAACTATGCAAAAAAAAACAAAAAACAGATCTGTTGGTGACTGACTGTACCAGCAGCTTTAAGCTATCTGTGCAGGACACTTGCACTTTTGGAACCAATTTTCAGGACCTCTGAGCCTTGGTGTACAAATCACCTTCCACGAAGTAAATGCTGTGACTCTCTCTTTGAACTTTAATGTTATTTCAAACCTCCAATTGCCAAAGCGGTCTTTCAGAAACACAGACATCTGCCAATAAATTGTTTCAACAGCAAAGTATAACTGGATGAACACCTTTTACTGTAAATCACCTGGTTACTGTAATCACATTACAATTGTTCAGCCACTTTGTATTTACAGCTTCCAGAATTTGAAAGGAAATCTTTGCTGTACACTTTTATACCATTCTATTTTGTTTGTTCAGAGTTGTGCTGAAAGAAGATGCAGACTGGGTTTTGTCACCTTTATTTTTTTTATGTGCCATTTATCATTTTGAGTAATTTTTTCACCAATGACTGTATCCAGATAAATTGCAATGCTTTTTGTAAAATGTTTACAACAGTAAATTTGAATTCAGTAAATTTGTTATTGTATCAGGCACGCATGCATTCATTAAACAGTTTTATAGCATACATTCAATTTTTTTTTGTCTAATAATTCAGAATTTAGCGATATATGTTTGTATATTCATAAGTGCTGACTGAAAAAAATCCCACTTAGGGATAGTAATCCATGTATTGCCATTAATCAGTCCTTTATAGAAGAGTAAGAGGAGAAGGCTAAACAAGGACTTTTCTGAACGGAGCTGCTAAAACACCATTACTGAAAGAAAATCGTGATGGAAAGTATTCTCCTGTGACTTAGATTCATGGGATATCATAAACGCTAAGGATGACTAGATGGTGGCCACTTTAAAGTCATCTGCAACTATGCTGCCATTGTTGGCTCAAAAAATATACCACAATCCACTGCATTACTGAATTTTGAAGTCTCTGCTCTTCCTGCAAATCAAGTTACAAATAAAGCAGAAAAACACGAACGATAGTTCCAGAGAGCTGAAGCAGAGGAAGTTTAATGTAATTCATTTCAAAATAGTTCTTAAAACAATTGTGTAAATCTTTGACTTCATGTTTAGATTGTAAATGAACAAAAATATTCATGAGGGGAGTGAATATTTCTTTCCCAAGTATATATGTGTTACCTTTTCTGTCTATACATTTAAGCCATCTTGCAACCTAAACTACCTCGTATCTTTAGACAATACATGAACAGGGAAAAATAGAAAGTACAAGATCTCCATAATGGCCAGTGCTAGGATAGCAAGCCTTAGACTGATAAGAATCTTACCTGCTTCAGAAGGCCTTTTGAAAAAGCTTAGATGTTTTTGTGCAAAAAAACAGATGTGCACTTAAGTTGATTAGGACTTCCCCAAACAGGTATGCCTATTTCATTTAATTAAAGCTATCTGTAAAGTGGTATCCTGGAGCAGCATACTTCTCCCACATTCCTATTTTTCTGAGCTTTGTATATATATGGGAAGCATTCTTTTAAAAAACATGAGGGGATAAGTGATACACCCTGAATGATTTATTTGAAAACTTGCCACCTTCCCAGAAAAGCCAAGCAAGCTGAGGTGATCAGTGGGATGGGGTAGATTTTGTGTGACCATACTCTTAAAATCTCAAAATATTTCCACTAGCTCTCAAATGTTGGGAAACCTTGGATTGAGAAATCTAAAGTGATTCTAAACTATTAAAAGTTCAGTGGGTTGTAAGACATTAAATATCAGCTCAGAATACTTTGTACAGCTGATATTTATGTGTTCCTATAAATATATCTCCAATCACTAATGGAAGTAAATAGGATAATTACAGCAGTATTTCTAATTGGGGTGTCCTTTTTAATTAAAACATTTCCCATGCTCCTTCACTGAGCTAAAATGCCCAGATCAAACCTAGACAATATGTGTGCGTGTGTGTGTGTGTGTGTGTGTGTAGGTCTAGGTGTGTTCGGGTCTTTTTCCGTATAAGATTAAGAGTATCTTGGTGACGTTTCGGCGAGGTTCCACTCGCCATCCTCAGGCTGGTGCTTTCGGGTTCGTGCCAGTGCAAGCAGTGCAATCTGCTTGCACTGGCACAAAGTCGAAAGCACCAGCCTGAGGATGGCGAGTGGGACCTCGCCGAAACGTCGCCAAGATACTCTTAATCTTATACGGGAAAAGACCCGAACACACCTAGACCTACATACCTGTACCCGTGAAAATCTATGAAAACATATATATGTATGTATGTATGTATGTATGTATGTATGTATGTATGTATGTAT